CATTTTTGTTGCTTGTGGATAATAAAGGCTATTTTTACCTTAATTTTATCTATATATTTTTTACAACATCTTATGTTGCAAAAGCTAATTTATCATACATATATCATGAGCTGTATTTTCTTTGAGTTATTTTACATAGCCTCATAGCTTATTGGCCATTATGAAAGGGAAAAATGGRCTTTGATTTAAATCTCAAATTATTATAATTTAAAAAAATATAACTGTATTAAAGTGAAAACACTTAATCCATGAAGCTTGAATAGTGCAAAATAGTACTAAACCATGCTAATTCCTTTGTTTTTAATTGTCTAATCAACACTATTTAGTAGTAATTAGTACTATTTGTTTCACGGATTTAGTATGTTAACTCTAGTAAACTACATTATGAAATATAATTCTTCCAAATCCTTGAATTATCCTTGATATTTAGATATAATTTTGTTAATTTCTAGCGCATTGTCAATCGACTTGGAAGGTGGATTGACTTTGAGAATGACTACAAAACTCTGTACCCATGGTTTATGGAATCCATATGGTGAGATGCCATTATAATTTCCAAAATAATGTATACCCAATGTTAATTTCAGAATGGACTTTATACAAATGCCATTTGGATATTGATCAGTACTTGGTTTACATTATTTTACTCGATTATAATTCCTTTTAGGTGGGTTTTCAAACAACTCTATAATAAAGACTTGGTGTATAGAGGATTCAAGGTAAATAGTGCTTTTCTGTACAACTATTCTTCCCCAATCTGATTCTCTCTTCTCCAAATTATAATTGCCCCTCTTCAAGCACTGAAATATTTGGGATTCTATATAGCTGTGTGATGAGAGTTGGTGTACATGTATTTCCAGGCTACACTTCTCATAAGTGTATGTCTCAATTTGTGCTTGTAGGGTGTCAAAATCCCAAGAAATTTATACAAAATGTGAGAATCTTTGATTCTGTAATGTTATTTTATTTTGACAGGTCATGCCTTATTCCACTGTTTGCAACACACCATTATCAAACTTTGAGTCAAATCAGAACTACAAAGAAGTTGTTGATCCTGCAGGTAAACACAAGCTATAACAACTTCAATAAACCTGTCAAACAAGCTAAGAATTTAGTGCAGATATTTAAAATAGTACTGTGGAAAAGCGAAAAATAGAACATATTATTGTTTTCAAAGAAACAATTAGTTTTTATTTAAGCGCAAGGTTGATGCCAAATTAGTTTGCAGTTTTAATATAAAGTTGTTTCGTTTCAGTTTTTGTTAGTTTCCCATTGGATGAAAGTCCTGACGTCAGCATGATTGCCTGGACAACCACGCCCTGGACACTACCAAGTAATCTTGCCTTGGTTGTCAATCCTGAAATGGATTACGTCAAAGTGCAAGGTAGGTAGACTATTTTCAATGAATTGCATTTGTATACTATTTTTATTCCATTTTTTGTCTACTGTTTTTGCAGTGCCCATAGTAAAGCTCAAACTTTAAGTCGCAGGTTAATCACAATGTTGTTGTGGTGTTTCTTATAGATAACAACACTGGCAGAGTATATATCATGATGCAAGCAAGACTTGGTGCTTTGTTCAAAACTGAAGAGGAATACACTATCCTACAAAGGTAGTTCTATTCAGTTAACATTATCCAATGTTCTACAATGAATTATTGTTTTACTCAAAGTGTGTATTATTTCATGAAAAATATCTTTTTCATCTTCAAACCTTTCCAATAATGAGAAATTAGGTATTTTTATTCAGTTGACTTTATCTACTATCTACAATTAATTGTTGTTTTGCTCAAAGCATGAATCATTTTATGAAAACGATCATCACAAAATATTTAAAAGTAATTCAACTATTGTCCTCTAACTTTATGAATTTTTTGTTTTTTCTAGTTTCAAAGGGAAAACTCTGAAAGGAAAGACATATCAACCTCTATTTAACTACTTTGAGGAGGTATAGCATGAACAACTGTCTTACAAGAATACTTGATAAGCTTATAATCTAAATTAATTGTATTTATAATTGGTAATATWATAATATTTTTCATAGATGAAGCAGACTGGAGCATTTAGGATTCTTGTAGATAATTATGTCACAGATGACAGTGGTACTGGTGTTGTTCACTCTGCCCCGGCCTTTGGTGAGGTAAGATTATTCAAAACATTATTGAACAGAAAGAGCAATGGCAGACCTTTGACTTTAGCAGTGCACAAAAACCTAGTACAAATGCTGCTTGCACTTTGTGTTTCAAACTTGTATTCTTCAGGCTCAGATTAACAAAAGTCTAAACTTTYATAGGATGATTACCGCGTTAGTCTTGCAAATGGTGTGATTATCAAAGGTGGAAAACTGCCATGTCCTGTTGATGCTAATGGAAAATTYACTGATGAAGTAACACATTTTTCTGGACAGTATGTGAAGGTAATGCAGGGCAGTTGTAACTACTGCGTAGTAATGGATATGAGTGGTTTTATTCTGTTTTGTGGTTTTAGGATGCTGACAAGAATATTGTGAAATTATTGAAACAAAACAATAGACTTGTCCACCAGAGCACAGTTAAACACAACTACCCATTCTGTTGGAGGTAAAAGAAACATTCAACTCATTTGCTTGTCTCATTGTCTGTTTCTGGCTGTTTGTTGCTTGAATTTTGGATAACTTACTTCCCTTTATTTGTGTACACTTGCTTAAAAGAGCGTTTTACTGACATTTTCTAGTAAAGTATATCTTTTTCTGTTGAATTACAGATCAGATAGCCCACTGATATACAAGGCTGTTCCAGGATGGTTTGTCAAAGTTGAATCGTTTGTTGATAATCTTTTGAAAAATAATCAGAAGTGTTACTGGTGAGTAATGAGCAACAGACGAATTACCACACCATATGGCATATTGAAAATGATGATGATAACGATGATGATAATGATGATAATAATGATTCAATATCCAATAWACGTTTTGTCTCGCATTAATCAGCAAATTGTTACGCTTTTCCACTAAGAAATAACCATTGATTACAACTTACACTAAGTTTGTGAATGACAAGAGTTGATTGATTTGTTGGGCTGTTTATTAATCAAAGGGTCCCAGAGTTTGTGAAAGAGAAGCGTTTCCATAATTGGTTACAAGGTGCGCATGACTGGAACATTTCACGTAATCGGTACTGGGGCACCCCCATCCCTCTATGGGTCAGTGATGACTACGAGGAGGTTGGTATCCAAGTTTTCAATATATAAGTTATCATTTGAAGTAAGGTTATTTCTACCCCTTAAGTGGTTTGTAAGAAAGAAATACATAAAATACGAAACTTCTGCTCACAGAAACAAGAAAAAGGATGAACATAATTGCATGGTTACAGAAAGTAAAATCACTGGACAGATTTTTGGGTCATGTAATTCATTATAAACTGTCATTACTTAGGTTGTATGTGTTGGATCTATTGACGAACTTGCTGAGTTGTCTGGTGTAAGGATCACAGATCTTCATCGGGAAAGGTAAGTTTAATTCGGACCTCATGTACTTGAATATGCATAATTTCAAGCTCGAAATGTTGTGTCACAACGCTTACAAATGTGTACTAAGAATTTTCATATTTGCAGTGTTGACCAAATCACTATTCCATCCAAGACTGGGCGTGGTGTTCTCAGACGAGTGGCTGAAGTCTTTGATTGCTGGTTTGAAAGTGGAAGGTAAGACCTTTTTCACATMATACCAACTGAATACAATTCAAATTTGCATTTAGTTTTATTCCTTCAATTCAAGGAAACGTGTTTAATTCGAGTCTCTTTTCGTATCTCTTCTTGCATCCTTTTTCATTTGGTACCTAGTGCTGTATTGATTGGATTACTTTTATTTAGCATGCCCTATGCACAAGTCCACTATCCATTTGAAAACAAAGAGGTATTTGAGAAGTCTTTTCCAGCTGACTTTATCGCTGAGGGTATTGACCAGACAAGAGGCTGGTGAGTAGTGGTTCGCTTTGCTGACAAAAGTCTTATAGCCAATGTAGACTAATGAATGTTGTCTTTTTACTCGTAGGTTTTACACTCTACTTGTGATTTCCACGGCATTGTTTGACCAACCACCTTTCAAGAATCTCATTGTGAATGGACTCGTACTCGCTGCGTAAGTACTGAAAAGATGAATAACTTACTAGTACTGAGGTTTGGGACGTAGGTCCTCGGACGATGCTTTTTCCAATTTGATGAAGGATCATTGTCTTTATGTTGTTAATCTATCATTTTATCACACATTGGTTTTCTCCTCTAAACTTACAGTTATACGAGAGAAACGAATATTCTTTGAATCATTGCAATAGAATATTTTATTGAGGCGACKTTTGYTGTAATAATYAAAACACGACGCATGAMTCGGTGTAWTGATCAAAATAAACAACAACAAAATTTCCATAAATAAATATAATTTTTGTCATGTTAACTTATAGTGACGGAGCCAAGATGAGCAAACGAAAGAAAAACTACCCAGACCCAATGGAGATAATCAACAAACATGGTTCTGATGCTTTAAGGCATGTAAATTAAACTTAMAGTAACTCGTGTCGTTATTCTGTTGTTTTGGGTCGTTTTATAGCGTGTTCAAAAGTCATAGTATGTGTTTTTTTGTGGAGGTTCTATGTTACATAGGTCTTTGTAAGTTTCCTGTCCCTATCACAAAGATGTCATTTTTCTTCGCTATGTGGTATGTTTACACTATCTCCCCTTGTTTTTCCAGGCTCTACCTCATCAACTCGCCTGTTGTTAGAGCAGAAACTTTGAAATTCCAGGAAAAAGGCGTCAAAGACGTGATTAAAGATGTGTTTTTGCCCTGGTACAATGCTCATCGATTCCTCAGTCAAAGCATTGAACAATTTCAAAGGGTAAGAGTTTCTGGATATTATTTGTTCGTAATGTCGAGACCATATGGCTGGAGAAATTATATCTTTCGTTTGAAACCTGACTTGAATTCTACGTTTTATGGCTTCTTTACGGTGAAACCATTTTATTGCATTTTTGATTATTTTGATGACTTTTGAGAAAAATAAACAGCACGGCACCGATGAAAGTTCAAAAAGGCGGGAAAATCCGGGAGCGCACCTGGAATAATGTTTGCTATGTCTTTTTAGGACCATAATGTGAAGTTCACGTACGACGAGTCAAAGACCATGTCTCGTTCCAATATAATGGACAAGTGGATATTGTCATTCAATCAGAGTTTAGTAGAATTTGTGCATCAAGAAATGGCAGGTAGGAAAGATAAGTATGTCATAAATACTTTGCACGTTCNATAAGAACTGTTAACGAGCGAGTGCAAAATTTATCTGTTCAAGAGATTTGTACCGGTTGAGATAACATATCTAGGACTATTTATAATGGATGTGTTTTGTGTTGAAGGCACCATTTACTCCATTCCTGACTGAGCACATTTATCAGAACATGAAGCCCTACATTGTATTTGAAAAGGATGAGAAATACACAGACAGTGTACAYTATCTACTTATACCCAAAACAAGGTAACGACTTAGGGCTTTTATTTATCTATTCCTTTGTTCGTCCTAGCTATTCTTCCTCACTTCCATCTTTCCTCTCTCCCTTCTTTCCTTTCTTCGTCCCAGAGTTGATCAAGCGGTAAACCTCACACATTTTTCACTTTTACTGAGAATCAGTTGTCTGTGTTATTTACTCACGTATTGAATTATTTGAATCACTTTTCAGAAATGAGCTCATTGATAAGGAAATTGAACGCTCCGTCTCCAGAATGCAGTCAACCATCGAACTCGGCCGAGTTATCAGAGACAGGAAGACCATGCCAACAAAGGTATCAATACAGAACTTAGACAAAGATTAAACCCTCTCGACAATATAGAACCCTTGCGATGTGGTATTACATGTAATGTTATGCTGTATTATGAAACTTTGTTATATCATATTAGGTTAAATGAGATTTGTTGTTAAATATTATGATTAAATATGGTATCTGTTTCTTAAACCTGTGCTTTCGCAGTATCCTTTGCCGGAAGTCGTCATCATCCATCAGGACCAGCAATGTTTGGATGACGTCATATCACTAAAGAAATACATCATGGAGGTACAGTATATATTGCTTGTTATATTGCAGTATTAGTAGTATTGTTAAAATATTTTTAACAAAATTTTTATTTTTATTAAAAAATATCATTTTTATTTCAATTACTTTTAAAATTTTTATTTTTATTAAAATATATCATTTTTATTTCAATTACTTTTGTTATTCATCACTATCACCATCAACTGATTTCTTGATTTCGTTTTGTCCAGGAATTAAACGTTCGTAAAGTGACTGTTTCATCTGACAAAGAGAAGTTTGGTGTTCGCCTAAAAGCTGAACCTGATAGTCAGATTCTTGGAAAGAGGCTTAAGAAGGACTTCAAACAAGTTTTTCAGGCTGTCAAAGGTACCACATTATGATAAGTATGTATTTTTGGGAGGCGATGTTGGACTTGAAAATCGTGACATGATTGAAGCTATGGTAAAGTGAACTTTTTTGGTAYTCTTTTGGAAATTTGGATCATTCCTAAACATGCACACCATGATATCTACTATCTTACCATGTTACCTTAAATCTTCGTTTGCAAAATATGTCACAGCGACCATCTTGGTTTCTTAGGATTTATCATTATCATCGATCTATTGTTCATTCCAGCAACATGACCGCCAATCCATTGTCTTTTGAATCTCACGGAAATTATYGAAAACGAGAACTAACGCAATACTTTGAACCCCTGGTAACGTGATAACGCGATACCCTGATATCATAAAGCTATGATACAATGACGATTTGTAAGTCGTACGTATGTTATTTATTCAACAGAACTATCTGATTCAGACCTCAAGACGTACGTAGAGAAGGGTGAACTKACTATCTGTGGACATACACTATCAGGCGATGATCTGAAGATTGCATACAGTTTTGATCAGAATAGCGATCGACCYTCTTCTTATGAAGCTCACTCTGATAACGAGGTAGGCTTGTGTTTGTTGATCTGCGTCACGATCAGGGGCGTGTTTAGGGTGTTGCTCAGGGTGTTCAGAACCTCTCTTTCTTGGCAGACAACTGTCTTTGAAATATGAAACTTTATTTGACAAATCTTAAGGGTGACACACTTTTGGGATAGTCCAACAGTTTATTCAGTTTGAATCCCGAACAATACTTGTACAATTTTGCAGTCAATCGCCTTTTCCACAGTSTTGACATCCATCGTAAAACAAATCTACCCCCTAATAATGGCCACACCCCGCACCCCTAACGATGGAGACAAAGACTCGGGTAAGCTCCCAAGAACATCGGTGGTAATTGGTTGGCTCAACAAGAGTAAAACTAAAAAACCGAAGCATAAACAGGAGACTATTGTTCTGGTCAGCCAATCACAATGACTTGAACTATTAAAGCTGCGAGGCTTCCAACTCTTTAGAAATTCCSTGTGTCATATTGTTGCCTATTTGTGACCGCATAATGACGCTTTATAGTAACTTACTGCTGAAAATATCCATGATTTGACGGATATTTTGACAGAAATCAGCGTTAAGAAGCGTTGTATGCGCAAACGTTATAACTAGACAAAACACGTCATTTTCTGATTCCTTTTGAGGAAATACAACCGGAAGTAGTCGTAAGTGCGATCGATCGTGGTGCACGTTAAATTGACCAATCAGAGCGCGTGTTATATAAARGGTATTTCTARATAATGGTTGATATCTATTTCTTTCAGATCCTAATTCTTCTTGATGTGACTCCCGATCAGACGATGTTGGACGAGGGCGTGGCAAGGGAAGTAGTCAATCGTATCCAGAAACTCAGAAAGAAGGTCATTATTGCTTTTTTCCCCATTTATTTCAGCGCAACAAATCTCATGTGACGTAAGCGTTTGTTGYGCATGCGGCAATAATTCTGCGGTTGATTTTGATAATGTACTATCTTGATTTTAGGCTGGCTTAAGCCCTGCCGATGACGTCACCATTGTCTATGAAGCTAACACAGGAAGCCCGGCTAATCGTTTGGCACAAATAATCAACACGCATCAGGAGTATATTGAAAACAGCATCAAGCAGCCTTTGAAACCCGCACCCGTGCCTCCATTGACAGAAATCATACAAGAAAAGATGGATGTACGTAGCAGTATGTATGATTGACAACCACTGTATTCAGTGGAGAGGAGCATCACGTGATTAAATAATCACGTGATCGTTTCCTTGAGTCAATGGTAATTTTAAGCAACTCTTACGGAGTAAGAGTTGTTACTTGAGCAAGTCTTGCACAGTGGTGGTGTCTGAATAGCCGAATTTTGCCTCAAGTTACACACAAATGAATTAAGACGAGGCGCCGTGCATAAAGCTTAGTCATTCGTAAAAAGAGAATAGTTTTTTATAACTTCTGATTCATTTGCGTGTATCTTCTGAGGCGAAATTCGCAAATCGGCTTTTGAATAAATTATCACCAACTTTATCGTTTTATCCACAGGTAAAAGGCGAGTCTCTTCAACTATGGATCCTGCGAGGTCATGAAACCGATACCAACTCTTCCAACCCCACCCCYGTGTGTACTTTTGTCAACGTTGAACTGTGTGGGGAACCAGGAAATGGAATCAAGAGCAAAAGTGCGACTCTTTTACTAGAAAACCCTCAGGGGAGTGGTGACTGCAGTGTCCAAAGTCTACTTGATCAGGTATAGAGAATTTTCTATGACACAACAACAACCACCACAACAACAACAAAAACAATAACAAAAAAAACAATAACAAAAAAAAAAATAAACAAAAAATTAAAAACCAAATATTTTTTATCTCTTAGGTGAGAGTCATCTTCTGCTTGGATGAAAAACGAAAAATACAACTTTCTACTTCAAAATCCGGTCAGAAAGGTAGGCTTTCTAGTTAACTCGTTGTTAGCTTGAGAGAAAAGAACTTAAACTCGATTTTACCGTCTTTCTTTGCTAGGTGTTAAGACATCGGACCTGAAGAAACTCCACGGTACGACATTGTACGCACTCGTGGATAAGTAAAGTAGTACAATTTCAAGTCTATTTAGTTAGAATAATTTACTTCAATTTAAAATAAAATGCACTGAATAAACTTTTGAAGTATTTATGAAAGGTAGCTGGAAGTTTATTTTTGTCAGTATTTAATCAAACGAGTGCCAAAGTTTTTTTTTTCGTGGTTTCTTAACTCATAGCTTTATTAATCCTGTACGAATTTATYACTATTCTGATAAGGCTGAAGTAACTTATTTGAGCTTTAAGTAAAAGTTTATGCGATTTATTGCAAGTTTGTGTGGCTCGTCCCCAAGGTCTTCTTTACTCGACTACGCCATTTTGAGCCGAGAGAACCTGGGGAAGAGGTTCTCTCGGCTCAAAAGAAGTCTCCTTAGTAAGAGACAAGTGAGGCCTGAAACCGTGGSCATGTTCATAGGGACAGTAAACCCGTAGGCACAAAGAAAACAATGAAATTCAAGTATACTTGGGTGCGTAAGTTTAATATATGTTAAAGGCTTTTAGTGACCTCAGTCCAAACGGTCTCGCAGTATTTTTATCAAATCGAAATGAGATCGTTAACGATGAGTTTCAGTTTTAAATGTTAGATTTGTGTACGTGACGCTGATGTTTCCTGCGGCGTACGTCAAAATTTGTTTTACAAATTTCATCAAGCGGTGTTGGTATGGTGTGAGGGTACATGAATGGACAATCGAGGGCTTAGAAGCAAGAAAGTTTTCAATCGAGACACCTTTAAAACGTATGAATTTGTAGATKCAAGGCATGTATTTGCTTTATAAGGTATATCAAGCATTTTGATTTTATGATTGTKAAGGGCAGAAAATGTCGTTAGAAATTGTTCACGAGCCACCTTAACAACGSATTGCCYTYCAAGAAGCCATTCGGAGCTGACTTTGTCTGCCTGGATTCTTTAACGACACACACAAGTGGTTCATTGGCTGTTTGTATTCTCCTTTCTTCTAAAATACTCGACTGTACACTTGCAGCCCTGAATCGGTAAATAGCACAATAAACAAGGCATACAGACTGACAGCATTCCCAGAATTCCCCAGCGTAGTAAGCAATAAGCTCCAGGCCTCGAGCAAGAGCAAGGGTGCTCGGWTAACTCCCCTTCGCAGTCGTCGTCCTTTGTACAGTGATAGAACAAAGCCTTAACACAACACATRCATGTACAGCAGTCTATCAAGTCCTGACATGCGCTTTGATATTTTGGGGTCTCATACGGCTCATCATAATCCTCAAGTTGATTCCGGAAGTTATTGATCACTTCCGGTGAAATGACGCTGGTGCTCGTGAGAATGACAGGATGCGCGGACAGTACGTTGTGCGCCGACAGCAGTCTCTCTCGAAATTGAAACCTTTTGCCGAGATACGCAAAGTATCTCAAGGGGTTYGCGTCGGTGTTTCGTTTGGTTCTAGGAATGACAACGGTGGGAAGTGACTTGCTTCGCAAACCTTTCATATGTCTGTCATGTTTAGAGTATTTTTCTTTCTGGTGCCGTGGRACATGTTCATTATGTATTTGATGACCATTAGAGATACATGTCTGCTTTCTGTCATCGCATTGAAGYTCCTCGCATCTAGTTTGCCTTAACTCAGGTGCTGAGGCCGTTCGTTGTACTTTGACTTTCTTGTCGGGTACGTCTAGGGAATGAGGCCGATGAGAGTCCCCTAACATTGGGTTYCGTACTTCATCYCTTCGTATYTGTCGTATTCTTGGRCTTCGAGGTGGTGCTCCTTGATCGGGTATGGCATGCCTTGAATCTGTGCGATTATCTGGTGKTCGGATWTCTGGCGGTCGTATTACAAGRTGTTTGCCTTTMACTTTATTCATGTTGGAATCCATTCTTTCCGATGTAGGATACACTATTGGGCCTCCTGTGGGTAAACGTGCCTTTGGCTGTGCTAYGATTACGGAGTGATGTGGATTATCTCCAGTACTGTGGCGTTGTAGTCGAGGTATGTTTTGGGGCTTGGGCTGAGTTTGGAAACTAGCAGTAGATTGCGCCGAATCAATATGACATCGTGAGCGATCGTTAAACATTCGTGGTGCACCATGAGAGTTTTCTCGTTCTTCAGCCAGCCTTTTGTCATAACTAACTCTGTTATTYCTCCTTATATGGTCATTTCTATCACGTGAATCTTGTGYTTCATGTCCATTGTGATTTGATTGGTTATCTGTGCTTGTCCTTATATGGTTATTTCTGCCACGTTGCTCGTTTGGGTTCCATTTATTTTGATTGGAAGAGTTGCCAGCGTTATTTGTCCYTATATGGTCATCCCGTCCACGTGCCTCAGTTGGATTCCGTGTATTTTGATTGGGTGGATAAACAGAATGATTTGTCMTTATATGGTCATTATTAACACGTGARCTGTCATTGAAACCAGACCCCGACGGAAATGCTAATTCAGAGGACCTGGTACCTGACGAACTAGGYGCTTGTAGACCGCAATATTCACTAATTCTTTCAGACGGAAAATACACATTCTCCTCGGCTTTCTTGTACATGTTTCTTGATGACCCAGCATCGAGATACGAAGCGTCGAACTTTGACGACATCACCTGTGAGACTTGACGCTTTGGACGCAAGAACTGAAAAAAAAAAATGTCAGTCGGTTTTTAGAACAATTACGTGTATCCARGCAGCCGACACATCGGTGTTTGGTATAAATTCACTTCAAAAGCAATACACTACTACAGGAGACTAATGGAGTGATTGATAAGRAACATATTGCTTTCCGATTTTATGACAATTTTGTGGTCTTAGCAAGAGTATTGCGTGGTTTGTTTTGAATACACATTATTTTAGATGACGTTCAACCATAAGACCAATATTTTAGAACACGAAATTCGACGTTTTAACAATACGTCTATTTTAATATCGATTACTGCCTTAAAATACTCCTCAAAAGCAATAACTACACAGGAATTAACAAGTGTTTAGGAAATGTTTCAGACGTTTTTTTTTTGTTCCTATTGTCCGATAAATACGAGCAATTTCCGTTTTGATATTTGTACCATAATTTAAGTTGATTTCGCTTTCTTTTGAGTTTGGTTTCTRAATGAATTCTCCKCCWATGCGAACAGATGGGCAAACTCCCCACAAAAGTACATTATATTACCATGTTAGAATTTATATCGTTAATTGATAAAATGAAAGCAATGAACGAGCTGTGGTAATTGTTATGACGTAAAATGCTGTCAAGTCATCATTGCGGACTGGCCAACCGTATACAGATGCAAACCGCCAAATCATGCTATAGAGAGGATATTAACAACAACTTATATATATATGTCATATATGGCTTGCTTTTTGATGTTTAACCTAGTAAATTAAATGAAAATTTTGGTTGACAAACGCGTCATGTTATTTTACCGTAAGAATGACAGATTATGACGTCAGGGCTGCTTGGAGATGACGATCACATCTCGTATTCTTGAAATAGAGCAACAATTTACCGTGTTTGTGCAATGAAGAGTGTAATATACATCAATAAAACCGTTTAATCGGCTGAAAATGTGTGAATTTATAGACGAAAAGCAAACATTTTTGGGCTTAATAAAGTGTACTCGAGATCTATTTTTAAAACTAAGCTATCTATTTTTAATTATACTGGCTTGAAGGAAAGAGGTTTAATTGTGGATCAAAATTTATAATAAAAAGACCCGCTGTGCCTATTATACAATTTTTTTTTGTGGCAAAAAAAAACAAAAAAAAAAACAGCCAACATCTCTAGGCAAACACACAAATTAACTMGTCTGACTTTTTTTTCTTCTTCTTTGTTTTTCACTCGAGTAAACAGACACTTAGACGCTGAAAATATGCTCTTTTGACAAATTCATGTCGTGGTGAATATTCGACGAATTACGATTAGTCATCAATTATTTTGGATTAAGAAGTCTGCAGATTTTCATATTCAACATTTATCAATGAAAAGTCATTGAGTTTAATGTAGCCAAGATGTCTTAGTAAATGTATTCATGATTTCTTGAATAGTATTGAGTCTTTCACGTTTTATAGTGGTCTCAAGTACACTCACCGCCATGGCTTGAAACGTTGAAAACAAAGCAGCATACAATGACGACAATTCACTCAATTTTGCTTGGCTTAATTATCGGCTTGTGGTTCTCTGAGTCATACTATTAGGTTGTGGATTAGTGTAGTAGTTATTGACTTGAAGCGAAGGCAATATMATGTACCGCACAATTAGCACGTAATATTCCATCCGTTTAGTTTTCCGTCAAAAATTCTTAAAATAGCTACACGTCGTGACGGAGAGCGCTGTTACACGCTGAAACTTTCTTGTGAAACAAAACCTTGGAAACTAAGGCGGGGAAATTCAGTCATCTAAATGACCAAGTATGTCAAACACGCGGGCTTTTCTCACAACGCTGCAGAACTGCGTTCAGGGCCGAATGTTCCCAAGAACATAAAATAGAGCCATCGATATTACTAATAGTGTTAAGCGTATTTTCGATTTTATTGAGACTGTAAAGTTCCCTGTACAGCTACCATGCGTGATAATATAAGAATCAAAACTCTGTCTGTAAAAAGCGTCTCGAAATGCAAGTTACGTAACGACAGCCATATTGGGTGAAATAATACATCAATTCTTATTCTTGTTCATTCATTCAAAATGGCGGCGGTGGATTTGTCTTTTTTTTTTCCTCTGGGAATTCTGTGTCATTATGAGTCTTATGGTCGTTGCCACCCAAAAATATCTATCAAAAATTGCTTAATGGTCGGTCTCCTATAAGGTATGCTTCTTAATCCAACTGTAAAAATAAAAATGGTGTTGATGAAAATCAATGAGATTCTTTGTTTCCAAACGAAAGGTCGTTTAATTGCATTAGCAATTCACCAAAATAGCTTATCGGTTTCCACACAAAAGAACCTAAAACCAAACCATTTTTGTCCTTTTTATAGCCGACAAGGTCTTTAAAAAGGCTTAAACACCACAACAGGTGTTGGCTATCTTCAACTATCTTAGATTAAAACCTTTTTGGCTTTTCTACCGGCTTAGAATACTAATAGTCATTAACCTTTGCAGAGATTAATAAAATAAGTCTTTTAAGCCAGACAAATATATGCATTATCAAATTCAATGTCAAATTGAGGATTCTATTCACAACGAACGGGCTTATCTTCAAAATTTAATGTGATCACAAACCCTGCAATAAACGTGCAAACTGTAAAAAGCCAGTCAAATATTGTAAAGCCAATAAAATGCAACCTCAGGGAGGTAAAGCCAATAAAATGCCGTATAAAGCCAGTTAAATGTCATTTTACGAACAATGATTTATTTGCGCACAAAAAATATATCATATTCAACTTCAKCAGTTTCCGAGTCTGACTGCACTAATTGGACTGGAAATGAAATTGCAATTTTCACAGGAACACATKGCAATATTTTGAAAAGAACGCTTTTATATTCTACCCTTTTGTTTACTTAAAGTTTACTTTAAAAAGAAAAAGTAATATATATCATTCTATTCTGATGTTATTGATACGCAAATTTCCCATCAAACCGTGGACTGTTATCAAATGTGGTATGCAATATACGCAAACTAATGAGCTATACAAATACAAGGTCAAATCGATTTGTGCTTGATTTTCCCGCTACTTGCTGTTGATGTTGTCGTTGTTTTCTTTAATCATTTTTTTAGGTCGATTTAGATCACCGATTGGAAAATTATCCAATTGTTGCAAATGCATAAGGACAGAAAAACAAATGAAAGTAATCTCAAAATGGTCGACTAGGATTAAGAAAAAACCTCAGCTGTATTTCTAGGAAATTAAGCGGCTTCCCTCCGACTTAGTCTCCTCGCAGCCGTTCTTAGTACGACTGCGAGGAGACTACCTCCGACTCGGCCGTACTAAGGTGGTTCAAGCAAGGGACAATACGAGTTATCAAACATTTACTAAACCTAAATAGCATATATGGAATAGCTACACTGAAACAAAAGAATCTAACTGAATAACGATACGAAACAAATATAAAATTGTAATGCAAAACAATTTCAGTTAAAGAAAATTTCGGGTTGAAAACAACGGTGGACACAAACACACACACGGGCACAAAAAAAAAAAAAAAACAACAAAAAACAAAAACAACTGAACAACAACACAGCAGTAGAATACAAAAACCGACGAATTAATACAAAATAATACTGATTTAGCCTGAGACAAAAATAAAACAGTCAAAACACAGAACAAAACAACAACAACAATCTTTRTGAAACGAGATTGTCAAAAAGTGATTGAAGATTTTCCGGTCTTTTTTAAGAATACTTCACCCCTCTGTAGAATATCTATTGTGTTTTGCGATAGATAGTTGACAATAGCTGTTACAAAATAAGGTGAGAATAAAAAAAAAAACCCTCGCCACATGAACGCAACTATAACAGCTTTTTTCATCGTGACTCAATCGAAACTTCTTTTTCAAGGAGCCGCGGGGATTAAATTATTTTCACTAGTAGAGCCCTCGGAAAGAGAATTTCCAGTAGTGAAAAATAACAAAGGAGAGGGTCTTGAGGGCTTGCGTTATAGCTGTATTTTTTATTTTGTTTTTGTTATATTCATTTTCGCGCGGATATCGGTGTCATGAAAAGAACACTCTTTCATATTCATTGATCAGTTCTAGTCGGACTCTGTGTAAATAAACAAGTCGTGTCGAATGTGGCGAATTTCTGCGAAGCTCAACATGTAGAACTACAAATTCGCGTTTATCTGCATGAGCGATTTTTGACTTTCTTTTAAACTAATTCGAATTAAAAAATATTTTGCTTTATAATGAAAGAAGTCTGTTATTATTAGTTTGTGGTTATAGGAAAAGGTTYCTATTTTTCCCAAAATCATTATAAKTAACGTTTTCTGGTAACAAGTAAAAACATACCATGTTTACAAAGGAGAGCTACTAAAAATACGTCCATTAAAGGAGAGCAGAACGAGACATAGAAACGAGAACAACTAACGCTTGATTATATAATKAAGGACTTTGGAGAGGGATTTGCCGTTGAAACAAATATTCCATTCTATTAAATAAGAAAAATCAGAGTAAAAATTTAAGTCTATTTTACCTTTTTCTAGACAATAGAACGAGGAATAATCTTTTTCTCGTTTGAGAAACGCTTGGAGCGGCCGAAGAACTCACGCAACCAAACGGCTGACATCACTCAGAGACAGGAGAAGAATATGAAAATTCTGCATATATGATATAACATGACGTCAAAGCGAGTGTCATTCAGCTTGAAGCTCCGACTAAAACTTAAAAACAGCTTTATTGACAGTGTATTTTTAGGAAATTGGACAGATATGAAGGGGAAAAAGATCACACGTTGGGCTTGCGACACAGAAATGATCTACAAGGTCAAATACGTAAAAATATCATTGAATTGAACACAGTCTATTTCAACTTTATTTGCTTTTAAAAGAAGAAACTAAAAAAAATCTCGATAGCGGGATAATATCTATCGATTCCATAAATTACTAGACCTTAAATAACGCCAGAAAGCGGAAAAACAAGAGCTGTAGCTACGATTTCTATTCAAATGGTGGATGTTTACTTAGAAGACTTCATTGTATTAGATAAAATAAAATTTTGATAATATATCATTTGGATGAGAAATGAGAGTATAATTTTGTTCTAAAGAACAAAATATAGTATTTACAATCAACATAGCAAGGGCGCAAATGCAGGTGTACATCTAAGCAGAACTCCCTAAAATTAAACCCGCCATGAATTTATATGCAGGTTGCCACTTACAAAATACTTTAATTACAATCTTCTTCATAGAATTCCATATCAAAATATTCATTATAAAATTTCACATCCCCAGACAGACAAACATTTAAGTTCACAAAAAACTCACTTGGGTTCATATATCAAAATAAGGTAGAAAGCTCTCTACTTCAATATAAGCCTTTTTAATGATTTTTAATGGAATTCTATGAAATTACGATTCTTTTCACCGAATTCTATCAAAATATTCATTATATAATTTCACACCCCAGTGAGACGACTTTTAAGTTAAAAAAACTCAATTGCAATTTATATTAAAAGAAGCTAAAAAGCTCTCTACTTCAATATAGGCCTTTCTTATGGTTTTTGACTATATTGAGGAAAGGTATTATATCTGGTTATCATTGAGATATTCTCTCGTTTTCTCAGTTTTGTGTTCAGATTGACATTCATTCGACTGAATGGCGTCATTAGTGGGAAAAGATGAGTGCAGGTTTTATAGTTTTTGACTTGAAAACACTGAAAAGAAAAGAAAAGCCATGGAATGCATAATATAAATGTAATTCAATGTAAATTAAAGAAATTTCCAGTATTTTCCTTGTTTTCGACGACTATTCTCCTTGCAGTAAACATACATGACGTCATATCGAAACTAAAATCCCCCCTTTGAGGTCATAATAATTTCCAACGCCCCACACCTAAAAACTACATCAGTTTCAGCATTCTATCAACCAAATAAAAAAATCATTTACATGAATCTATATAAACCAATATTATGGAACGCCTTAAGCCGCGGCAACACGAGCGCTTTTTCGCTTGCGCAGGCGACGCAATTTTCGGGTACGCTGAAAGCTGAACATCAATTTTGAGCTGTTTTTATTCATAAACCTCTTTATGAAGATTCAAATAAGTATTTGTGAGGATTTTTTTATCGATACAGCTTTGTTTCTCGTGTAGCTACATCGTACGCTGGTGATTTTGAGAAAATCGCGTCGTCTGCGCAAGCGAAGAATCGCTCGTGTAGCCGCGGCTTTAGGGACATAAATTCAAAATTCGCTTCTYTAATCATTTTACACATTAGCCTTATAATCATTGCTTCAAAATGTCCAATATTTTACTAATTATATTGTAAGATATGACGTCCTCAACTAAGCTGTACAGTTTACGAGAAATTTAGCAATTTAAGTCACGAATTCAAGTCGAACAGGAGCAGATATTTGATGATAAATTCTCTTTCTCGCCAATTTTTTTATTTTCATGCTATAAATCTTGTTTTTTTTGTGTGTGTGTACGCACAGTACATCAAAAATGCTATAAAGTAATGACAGCCTCAGGCGTTTCATAGTCTATGTATTGATAAAAAAAGTCGGTATAATTAAAATCCGTCGAGTCTTTGTCGAAATATGTATGTGACATAAGGGTGCTTTCATTAGATCCAAAGAGAATTCCATTTTTAATAAGGTCTTTTCAATAAGAAAATATATTCATTTGTAAATGGAAAACTTGAAAAATAGCTGGAAAAAAATCTCGACAAAAAGCATATATTTACTTCTAAATATACCATTCTGGGCGGCCAATTCTGCCTCGTGGAAAGCGTTTGCTTTCAGGATCTTCTATAACTTCTTGTCTAGATAGCTTACAATTAATACTATTCTGTATTATTTTTTCTCGCGTCGTAAACACATGGCTCGTGTTTTTTTTTTGTCGTTTCTCGAGCTATTAAAGTGATCAATGCATTTAATGGCTTTTTTGGTCCTTGTGACGTCATGATAAATTGTCGAAGTGCATCATGGTATTGATAAAGATGGCGGACGTACGTTCTATGAAACGGTGGACGAAAGACGAAATTTACAGTTTCTTTTGCTGTGGGAAATTTATAAAAACAATGTTATGAAATGGCTATATCTAAAGACATGTATAAAAAGAAAGTAATACTTGTTGACTTACAAAACCCAACCCCATGTAATGCACCYGGAAAACGAACAAAGAAATTCTCAYAYTTTTACATTAGCAKAGCAAAAAATAATAATAATTTCGTTTATTCACTGACAACAAATATCTTGGATCTACGAGTAGAGAAAATCATTTGTTTCTCATAAACTAAAGTACTCATAGCGAGGAAAGACTAGGTTAACTAGTTTGCATCGTCCTGTATCATGACTWAATTTTCGTCCATAAATGCTACAAGCCTGATTTTCACAGGTTTAGTTTTGTCCTTTCTTTATAAAGGATCATCAATATTTAGAATSCATATRCAACAATGACGTCACTTGTTAACATGCTGATGACGTCAAACTTGACAACATATCCAATGTCATTTGACGAAGCAAAGATGAATGACATCATGCTTGATAATCTATTTTTAAGTGTACTTTTTTGTCATGTATAGATTGCATTCCATTCTGGTGCATCACAGTACTACAATGATGTCATTTGATGACGTAATACTGACATCATACATGATGACGTGGCGATGACGTGGCATTTACTTACAAGTGAACTTGTCTTTGATATTCACACATACGTTGCATTTCACTTTGCAACACCATATAAATTTGCATGCACATTGCATAGATTCTCGTACAGTCCGTGTGTTATAACCATTGCCGCAGCATAATGACTCGCAACTATCTCGTCCCTGAGAGTCTCTTCGACATTCTCGTCCAGACACTCGGTCGCAATAGTTCACAGAAGCATGCAAGTGAATAAGCGAAGTATTGTTTATACGGACTTTCTTGCGACCTTTCCTCTTRAGTTTCTTTTTTCTTTTGATGTACACTACTTGCACAGAGYCAATGTACTTTTTCTTGAGGTCTTGACCAACCTCCTCGAATCGCGGTAAAGACTGCCAACATGTCTTCACAGTACAAGAACTAGATACTCCGTGACAACGACATTGCTCCCTCATTAAAGACACAACGGCCTGAAAATGATAGAACGCAAAGTATGTTAGTTAAAAATCCCAATAATAATTGAAGTCATGACACACCGAATAACTAATCTAAACATGGCGGATCAATATCATCTTTCTTCACTAACTAGCCTAGTA